AGAGGGTGTAACATGTATATCGTTTTAAAGTTCTGTTTATATCTACCCATATACGGGGTGTCCCAGAAGTCTGGACCTATGGGGAAAATAGACGTTATATTCTTAAAGTTAAACAAACACATTTCTAATGTCAGTTGTAGATATTTCGAGGAAGAAAATTCCCTGATGTCACAGTATACCAAGAACTGGAATTTGAATAAATATAATTATTAGTTTTCCCTATGGGTCCAGACTTCTTGGACATCCTATATATATATGTTGGATACAAACAATACTATATCAATTGTAAGTGGGCGGTATAGATTAGCACCACAAAACAGTAACAAGAATAAAGAAATAACGAGACAAAACAAACCCCAAAAATTTCTAAAATTGTGTCATTTTGGTTCTTGATTAATTGCGTGATAGCAGCCACAACACCCAAACAACGTTGTGGAAATACCTTCGCTTCATTTATTTACCAAGAACGCTGATGCAGCAAGCGCATAATGTTTGCAACCGCTAATCACTTAATGGGTGCTTTAACTTAATGAGCTCTGCACCCACTGCCTGCCGCCACTTGTGATAGTAACCCCTTAATAATACAATCTTTGGAATTTTTTGAATCGTTTTTTTAATGGTAAGAATTTTGTTTTCTTGTGTAGAAGTAGTATTTTAAACTTAAAATGTCTAAAATTAAATATTTTTCAAAATGTTTCATAACGTATTCATCAATACATGCAAGAGACTTAATTACTGACTTGTAGAATTTAAACTAATATTTGATTCTTTAACACCATCTGTGGATATTCAGTGGTGGTGCTCGTATAGAATCTTATCTGGTGATTTATTTTAAACGACCTCTCGTTACTACTTTAATTCACCAGGGTATAAAGTAGAGGACATTTTTCTTATATAAAATATACTTCTCATAATAAGTTACAGATATAACATGCCTATTGGTCCATTGCTTTATAATTAAGAAACATTAATTTTATTCTTTAAATTCTGATTAATATTAATTCATGATTCTGTTTTTTGTACCAACTATAATTTATATGATTCTTATAACAATCGTATACTTACTGGAGTTTTAAACATGGCGGAAGATAAAGAATTGGTTAAAATCTTGGAATTAAAAACAACAAATAAAACGGATATTTTAAAATTATTAGAAAATTATACACGTTTGTATTCTTCATGCTACTTTTTCAAATAGGAAAAATACAATTTTAAATTAATTAAAGATAGTTTAAACGTGATTAATTTATTCAAATATAAATTGGATATTCCATTTCACATTTTTCAACAAACTCTTGCAAGTTCAAAATAAATTAACAACACCTATTAAAAGCAGTTTGTAATTTTGCCTTTGTTTCTAAACTTTTATACCTTTTCTACAATAAATAGGATTAATAACAATTAAACTTCAAATTAAAATTGATGTAATTATAAATAAAATTTTTAAAACTACCAAAAAAAAATGGAAATTTTTTATCCTTCATGATTTATTTTTATTTACCTTTTATTTATGCCAGCTCTAAATTGTATTAAAAATCTAAGTACCGCCAGGTACTTTTAAATCAAATCTTAGATATCCTGACTAATAAACATTTTTGTAAGATTATAATGATGGATTATCATATAAAGTTTGTTTTATTATTATTATTAATAAAAGGGTATTGTATTTATAATTTACAGATTATTTCTTCTTTAATTATCATTGATTTTACCATTCTATTAATTAATTAATATACCTTTGGCGGACCTTATAGGAGCTTTCAATATTCCTTTTGATAATTTATTTGATTTTTTCTAAAGATACGTTTAAAGTAGTATCCCCCCCCCATCATTAGAGGGGGGTTGTGGAGTTTATTGTATTTAATGATAACATTTATAAACTGTTGGTTCACTTTTGGGAGTCAACATTTCAGTCTTGATTTATATATTTTCACATTCCAGTATATTGATATCATCCTACAATCCCTACTTTGAATGAATAACTTCTATTCGTCCTGAAAATGGAACGTTCTAATGACAAGTGTGCTTATTTCACAGTTCAAACGATTTGTTCTAATTCTTCTTATATTTTAAAATAATGTTCTTTTATTAACAGAAGAACTAAGTTTAATGGTGATAGCTGCTCTGAACTTGTTAAAGTTTATTGACTATTTTTTGTTAATAAACAACACCTTATTTTAAATAAATATTCCACAAATTCTTAACTTGTTAAAACTTTGAATAATTGTTTTCAATGTATTTCTCCAGTTGGAGACCATTAGAAATATGACATTTTCCCATAAATGTTGTATGTTGATGTCACTTCGATAGGTGGAGTTTCTATTTCAAGGTCGTCTTAAATCAATTATTAATGTAAAGACATGTCGAGACTTGACACCTTAATCTTTCTTTGGTGTAGAAATAGTCGCTGTATATAGTTTGATGGAGAGGTAGCTTCAAGAATATTTCATATAGCTTTGGACCTGATAATATATTTTCTTACTTTTTTGATATTTATGACTAAAGTTTGTAAAATATGAAGCCTGGAATAAACAGTTTCTAACTATTCACCTCAATCCACCTAATTTAAAAAATGATTTAGCATTTAAGGGTGAAGTTTGGTCATGATTATTATTTATTGGAGTCACCAAGATCACTTTCAATACAGGATAAAGGGGGTAGGTAAGCTTTTGTGTTATTGGTATAATAATGATAATAATTATTATATTAAAGGGGTTACTACCTGGTCCGAGTTTTTTGTTTTAATAATTGATGAGAAGGGGTATCTCCAATGCTATTTAGATTCCACAATGCACGTGTTATTCACAATAAAAAAATTATACCTTTTATATTATTTATTTTTATGATTGATTCATTTTTTTTATTAGTGTGTGTGTGTGTAGATTTAATAGCTTGTAATATACATGCAGTATGGGTTTTTGTTTCATCCACACATAATGAGTACATTTAAGTAACACGTGTAAATGTTATCTAAGCCTAGTTATTGCAGTTAAAGAAAACATTAAGCCTAATTATTAGTCCATCGTACATTCTGTAAATGTCAATGAGGATGCAGATACAAAGTTTTAATGACATGAAAACAGACAAAATTATCATCTTTGCTTTAATTGTTATACAAGTAATAACAGAATCTCTCTCTCTCTC